TGGCTCTTCTAATCCTATTTAATGATTAACAGAAAATATTTTCTCTGGATGTTGTCTTACCAATCTGTTGTGTAGTAGCATTCAAACATGTCTGTATCACCTGCCAAGAATTATAAGAATGATAATTTCCTGAAAAATATGTTCCCTTATATAAAGGTGACCAAAGTCTGAACTTTATCTTTAATCTGAATTAAAACCTAAACTGAGTCAAAAGTGGTGATCCTCACTGCTACCTGCAAAACCCTAGCTGGCAAGTCCTCAGGTGTGATCAAGTTCACAGTAAGATCTGACAAGAAACTTATCCCAACACTCTCCAATTGTAAATAATTCACTTAACAAGACTCTAGTAATAAATAAACTCGACATTGGCAAGGATGCAATCCTCTTTCTTCTAAAAAATAGACAAAGATCTTTTTCTAATTGTTTTATATCAGTGAGATATTTCTTTTTATATTAAATCCTTACACTTCCTTTGCATTACGACGTTTTCAAAAAGTCACTTAGTTGAAAAACTTCCAGATAATAAAGCTCGCTAATAAAACGGTGAACATTGAATTTTAAAGTCTAGACATCGATTATTGTTCAGAAATACCTCCCTAATAAGAGTTAAATATTAAATATTAAAATAACAATAGATGGAGGAATAAGTCCAGCACTGATGTTTTTCAACACCAACGTACAACACATGCACCCGCTTCAGATGTTATCAACCCGACCCGAGGCACAAGGTCGATAACATCCCTTAGTTGTTATCAATGGGGCTGATAACCACTGATAATTCCATGGATTGATAACAATAACGTCCGAAGCAGGTGACTCAGGTATGGAATAAACTAATAACTTCTCTCTGCAAAATACAAGAGCTTATTAACAAATAGAATTCAACCCTGCAGTTAACATACTGAAATCAACAAACTCTCTAAGCTAATAACACTCAAATAAACTAAGTAAAAGATTAAAGGCCAACGATTTAGTGTATTGTCATTCAAGATGTCAGCTTCATCAATATATGTAGAAGCTAATGTTTTGCTGTTTTATGCACTCTTTTAAATCCATCTACTTTAAACCATTAACAGCAAGACTAATTATTTATGAAGGCCAGCAGTTTGCTACTGCTGGCTGTTGCACAAATATTTACTAGCATGAATAGAGGGAAGCTATTTTATGGAATAGATGAGCATGGCTACTTGAGGCTAAAGGTACAGACATTTAGCACATTTAGGACTATTTTATATAGCTTTTCACAAAGAAAAGAAGGAAAAACTGTAGCAAACTCTTCTTGCATCAATGAAATGATTGTCAGTCATGCACTGACAGTAAATTGTATAAATAAGAGGAGTGGTCTCAGGTTCTCTCTTGACATCATCCTCATACACAGTGGGATGACAAAGAGAGCCAAAGTGGAAAGTGGATAATGCAATGCATTATGGAATTAGTAGTTCTTATGCCAGTCCATTTGCTTCTGTAATTCAGTCCTTTGTGACTGAAAGCCAAACATTTGCATACAACTCAATATCTGGACCCAGCAGAAAGGAATACAACATAACAGATGCCATCAACACTGGTCCTTCAGAAAGTGATTTCAATCCTTTTAAATTATTACTGTTACTTTCAGACCTATCTTGTATCACGTGTTACCTAATCTGTTAGTTTATGAGTTACTAAAGCTGATAATATAATTTTATATCAAACTTTCCATGGGTTAGTGCGTCATCAACATGTTATGTAAGTGTAATCAAACTTTTTTAAATAGGTAGCAGTAAAAGACTAAAACAGAAATCTTGTGACTAGAGTAAGGGTTTCCCAAAATATATGCTTCCCTGAAGATAAAAGTGAATAAAGTCTCCTTAGAGAACAAACAATATAATTTAGACAATGTTCTTTTTTCCAGAAAGTGATTGAGCAGCTTTTATCATCTACAAAAAGAAAAGAAGAATTTTGTCCTACTTTGAAATCCATATATATATATACTTAGATGTGTGTCAGTTAAAACAAACTCTGCAGATTAGTTTCTGTTGTTTGTCTTCTATTAGCTTGAATTAAGTGGTTACTATAAAGTTTGAAAGGAAAAGGGAGAACTTACAATTTTTTTGTTTTATGTTTATTATTTATTCTTAATTCACTAAGTTACATCTTTAACCAGTTGATGTTAACAGTTTTCAGGGTTACAAATAAAATTACATCTAATTTTAATTAGTTCAAAATCAAACAATAATTGTTCAATCTATATGTCCCGTGAACATAACTATCTGAATTATGTGTTGTTGCAAATACAAGGAAATGTTTTTAGTTTCAAGGACAATATTTAATTTGGTGCAACTTTAAAAACATGAATGGAGGAACTGCTGTTGCAAAATGGTCAGACTTTGAGTAATGATGATTGGCAGCTTTATCAAAGGCACAATAGATGTACTTGTGTGAAATATCTCTCGACTAAGCAAGCTTAGTTGACTGATTAAACTTATCTTTAATAACACAAAGCTACATAATTTTTAAAATTTAATCATTAATACTTTCATAATGGAAATAGACTTAACTTACGCTTTTCCAGTCATTTTGACCACTCAAAGCGCAAAAACTTTACATTAAAGTCACATTCACAAACACATTTACACACTGATAGGTAATTTGAGGTTAAGTGCCTTGCCCACAGGCACATCGACATGTAGCAGGAGGAAGCTGGAATCAAACCTACAACCTTGTGATTGCAAGACGACCACTCTGCCACACAGCCGTAGTCACCTAACAAATTTGTCAAATCATAATTTCTTGGTTAATGTCTCATTGTCATCATAAAGACATTTCGAATAATGTCAGATATGTATTAAAAGTGCCTTGATTTACTGAATGACAATTTCCGAACTTCTCTGTTTGTTTTGAAACTCTGATTTTGGGTTTTAGACCGCTACATTAACAACAGCCATACATATTCATGAAGACTTACTCATGTTCATGATGGTCTTATTCACAACCCATCAAATAAAGTGTTACCCAGATTTCTTATTGTTCAATTCCTTTCTTAAGTTCAGTGTTTGAAATTTAAGTCAGTCAATCACGTCTCTGTCAACTTCAATGGCCATGTGTTTGAGATCCAAAACAGACTCTTAATCCAGTGCAAGGCAGGCTGTGGATCCAGCAAGTCCGAGGTATTCGTTGAAAACTGGAACTCTTTTTGAACTTGAAATATCAGATTAAGTTAACTTTTGTTTTCGACTAAGTTGTAAGAGATTTTTAATAATTATTTTTGTCAATATTTTTACAAGAAATAAAAGATTTTTTTCAATGAATCAAGTTGGAAGTATGTGCCAGAATCAACCAACTGTTACCACCCGCAACCTTTGTCGGAAATGTTTGGTTTTAGAACCTAGTCGCGACACTCAATAATGAAAAAGGGAATTACCAACATTACAGATTTGTATTCAGAAAGTTAACAAATATAGAAATAGGAGAGACTTTATTATCAATCAGAATACAAGGCAACATGTTTAACTCTCAGGAATACTTGCCATAATTTACATAAAATACAAACATTGAAGAGCAAAAACATTACTGGATTAGCAAATGCACTTTATAGGTATTTACAGCTTTATTCTACAGTTTACAATCTGCACCTTGTCTCTAGATAGAGAATAAAGTAACCATTATTTTACCAGTTTAAACAGGTGTGCTAGTAGATTACTTGCTTCTACATATTATTTATTTGCAAGCATAAATAATGCATGGAAGCAGGAGCAAACTTGTAAAATTCATATTGCTATTGATATATTTTTTATATGCTATTAGAAAAAACTGATAGTTATTGAGCACTAAATGGAGTTAACTGTTAAAGTTTTTTGCCTAATTTTGATCTACACGCGCACACATCTTAAGGTTCTTGTAAAAATAAAAACTGTTTTCAAGATTATTTTGCTTGCAGAAAGCCTGAAATAATATTCAAATGAGATGCATTTCTTCAATCAAATCTCTTTGAGCAACTAGAGAATGTTGCACCAATATTTCCTTTTTAAAGCACTTTTGAACCTAAAAATATAATTACCATAAATATGTTGCATGTTTTTTTTTTTACCATGATGTATGCATAAACTGTTTCACTCTGATATGCTCATGTTATAAAATTGTCATGCACAAAACAAACAAACACACAAATACACAAACAAAAAAAAGAACAGAAACAAAGAAGTATTTTTACTCTGAAGAAAACATTTCTTTGAATTTCAGGAAGTAGCCGTATGCCGAAGTAACTGCATCCTTACAAACAACATTTTACTGGTACCCACAGTGCCTTCATTGGTACCTGTGTTTAAATTAAAGAGCCAACAAATAAAAGAAAGAAAAAAAAAAATATATATATATAATTATTATTATTATATTTTTTTTTCGTTGTTTTTTTCTGTATATTATATATATATATATATATAAAAAAAAAAAAAATTCCCTTCTCACACCGCGGGTGGTTCTTATCCTCTGAGCTCGGGTCCTCTACCAGAGGCCTGGGAGCTTGAGGGTTCTGCGCAGTATCTTGGCTGTGCCAAGGACTGCACATTTCTGGACTGAGATGTCTGATGTTGTTCCTGGGATCTGTAGCCACTGCTCCAGTTTGGGGGTTACTGCCCCGAGGGCCGATGACCACAGGCACCACTGTGGTCTTCACCTTCCAGGCCCTCTCCAGTTCCTCCCTGAGGCCCTGGTATTTCTCTAGTTTCTCGTGCTCCTTTTCCTGATGTTGCAATCACTTGGTATTGCTACATCTACCACAACGGCTTTCCTCTGATGTTTATCCACTACGACAATGTCTGGTTGGTTCGCCATTACCATATATATATATATATATATATATATATATATATATATAAACCAGCAGAAACCAGCTGGGCCGAGGCCAGCCTTGCTCCTGCGAGCTGTTCAGTTCACAGTGTGTTCTGACTCTGCTTCAGCACTTATCTTTTTTATTAACACAATGTAAAGCAGGAGTGAAAGGAATGTGGGGCGCACTATATTAAAGAAGGGAGCCATTCTGATAAGAAGGAAGAAGGAACACAGGAACTAACATCCTACACACAGGTAGTTTCACAAGTAAGGGGTAGATAGGGAAACAGCTGCAAGGTTAAGAAAAAGCAAGTTTTGTCTTTCACATGGTTGACAAATTCATTAAACCTTAAATGAAAAACAATCTAGTTAAACTGCTAATGTAAGGATGATAAGAAACTTACTAATTTTGTTATGTTCGCTATGTAATGGAAATGGGTCACTCAGGTTTTGAAGTTTGGTTAGACTTTAGTTTTATTCACTTGTCTGAAGTTTCTTGGGAGTATGTGCCAAGCATCCATTCCAGGCTTGTGATTTTTCCAGTCAGGTTGAAGAGGAGGATTATTTAAAGCCATCAACTGACCCAACCAGTTGCACTCAGATCGCAAATCTTCCATCAAGTCTTCAGGTTTTACATTTTTGCATGTCGGGTCAGAAATCTATGAATGAGAAAACATTTACCTTTGTTTTTACGTTGAGCAAAAATGGATCATCAGTAATTGCTTTCCAACAGAAAAATGCAAAGTTTAGAAATCTGGTATAATTTAACTTCAAACAGTATAATGGCAGCAATGATAATATTTAGTAATGTTGTAGTTCTTAACAAACCTTTGAAAAGTGTTCCTCTGTCCTACTGTAGTAGAGAGCTTGCTGAAGATCCTGAACAGCAGACTGCTTGTACTGTCTCACCTGAAATAAGAAATGCTTTACAGCGGAAACTTACAACCCAACAGTTTCAGACATTGTACCTTTTGAGAATCTTCATTGCTGCATTTTCTTAGACAAATAAAGGCATCAATTTGGTCTCTCAGTTCTGTCACTTCCTCTTGTGCCTTTTAAAAGACTCCTGCAACAGAATTTTTTTAATAGTTGAAATAATAATAAAAACTGCATTGATCAATTTTTTAGGAGTTCTAAGACCTTCACAGCTGAGCAGTTGTCATATAGTTGTTGTTTTTTTTTAACATCAAGACATCCAACTGTCAAAGGCAAATTTAAAGAAACATAAAACCTGGCAAAGCTTTATCAGCTCATTTGTAATTTATCATATTTTGCAAATAATTGAAAAAAGATGTATTTAATTTTTATGCTCAATTTGGGTTTATTAATTTTGACATGATATTAGGATACAACCAAATCCCCTAGCAGGTTTTAAATTGTGACCATAACTTTGTCACTGTAGATTCGAGGTGCAGCAGAGAAAAACTAAACACTGCTAGGGATCAGCTGTTGTATAAAATAATTGTTAACAAAAATTGATTTTAAAGGATGCCTGGTGTGGATCATACTTTATTAACAGTGCTTTTGATAAAAAATTAATAAAACTTCCTTGGATTGGTTACAGGGGTTCCAAACTACTTGGTCTAAGTTTCTTATTAAGTCCTCTAGATATACTTGTCACCCTGCTAATTTTCCAGCTTCACTGGCTTTCCAAGTATTCCAAAGTTTGTTTTAAAACTTTGATTTTCGGTTTTAGAGCGCTACATTGACAAATGCCAGCATATCTCAATGACCTTTCACAACTTCTTGTCATCAGTTATGCCGCTTACATTCTATAAATAAAAAGGAGACAGATAATTTGTTCTCTCTCCCTCAAGCCTGAAAACTGTGTGCTTATTTGTTGCTTTTAAGAAGCAACTCCAAACCATTTTTTCAAAACTTGTATTTGTGTCCTGAGCATTAATTTGTTTTTTTTGGAATACTTGTCTTGATTTTCCTACAAATTGATATTTCACTGTTTCAGTATTTTATTTTGTGGATTCGTTATTATGACTTTCTTTTTTTGTTTTATGTACTTAAGACTAGTTTGAATCCTTTTCTATTATTTTTGTCTATAAAAATGGCTACATAAATAAAATGTTTTTACAATTTAATTTAGCTTACCCTGTAAATTAAGGATGTCAACAGATGTTTCATTTCATCTTCATTAACTTTGGACACATATTTTCTGCTGGAAATCATCACCAGGACTTTGAGCTAGCATGCTTCTATTTTCCACAATCAACCATTCAGTACTGTACCTTTATGCTTTCTTTGACAATCTGTGGTGTTTCATGGTTTGACTTCAACAGCCTTTTAATTTTAGGCCAACGTCGCCTCAGATCATCATACAGCTCTTTGAGTCTGGTTTGAGAAACTGGATTGTTCAGACTCTCAGTTTTTCCTGTCTTTATTGAAAGAGCAACCTCATTTGCTACTCTGTACAAAGACAACAAATTATTAAACCTTTAGGTAAGCAAACATTATGTATTTTATTATTCCTGCTTAATTGCTTAAATGTCCATACTTGTCTTGTAAGGATTTCAACACCTCGTCTTTCTTCTTTATTGTTTCCCTGTGGGTTAAAATAAGGTGTATGTTAATAAAATAAATCACACATTGATTGACAGTAATTAAATCCATGTCAATAACAAAAAAAGAGCAATATTATGTAAAACTTAAAAAAGTTTATTTTAGAAACTCTCCTTGTCTTATAGGCTTGGGAATAGAACTTGCATAACTTGCAAGGAAACTGAAGCACAGGAGTTGATGGAGGGAAAACACAAGAACACAAGAAAAAACAAAGCAAAAACTATGTGATGTATAAAAGCAAAATTCAACCTGTTTGTGTTGCACTGTCTGTTGCACTCACATTAATAACATTCCAATAAATAAATTGATCTGACTTGTTTCAGCTGAAACATGTGTCAGTTTTTTTCCATTTGTAGAGATTATCAAAAATAGTGAATATGTTCTAAATTCAGTGTTAAAGAAAAGTTGATCTCTGACTAGTTTGATCCAATACTTCTTTTATTGCTCACAAAAAGTTAGAAAGAAGCTAAAATGATTCTTTGATTTTTAAAATGATACAAATGGAGATAGATTATAATAAGTTAAACATGGAGAAGATGGGGATGGAAGTAAAGAAAATCTTGAAAGATACTTACCTCAAATGTTCGTTCTCACTTGTCAGACGAGCAATTTTTTCATCCTTTCTGTGGTAAGATTTTAAACACATTAATTACTATGTGTTAATCAGGTTGTTAATTTTCAAATTTTAGCATGCACACCAGTAAATGCTAATGGAAGCTGAGCCACAGAAACAAAGCCCTTTTCTGAATAACGGGTTTAACTTGTAAGCAAATACAAAAGCTGGTCTGGTCTGCTTCTAAATTTTCTTTTTACTTTTTTCACTCTGCCAACATTTAATGGACAGTGGTGAAGCCAGAAGCCAAAAGGATTTTTTTTTGTTTAATGCATTTTAAGAAGGATAGAATGTATTCACTAATTGAAAAACTTTCAATTAGGTGGTTAATTATAGGATGTTGCTTTGGTCACATGGAACAATGTCGTTACGACAGATGAAACCATATGTAAACTTTTCCATAAAAACAGCACCATGTTTGAAAAACAAGAAAATCCTTCAGCCTTTTGGTGTTGTTGAAATACTTAGACTGCCACCCACACCATGTCTGTTCACCAAATTAGAACAATGTGGAATTGTGTGTGGATTTAGTTTATTTATATATATATATATATATATATATATATATATATATATATATATATATATATATATATATTTTTTTTTTTTTACTCTTTATGGTCATTAAAAAATAAATATTAGGACCTATTAAACATTCAATATGTTCTGATATAATTAAATGTAGATGACCTAACCATTACTATGTCCACAAATGCAATTAATCAGTATGTTTTGATTGATTTTTAGAATTGATTTGTTAGTTTTTTCTTTGAGTAGAAAAAAAAATGCTTACTTTGTATCAGAAATCTTCTTGAAAACATTACTGTGAAAAAAAATAAAACAACAGGTCAATGTGTATACAGTACAGGCCAAAAGTTTGGATACAACCTTCTCATTCAATGGGTTTCCTTTATTTTCATGACTATAATTGAAGTGAAAACCGTTTCAGGCGAAGACCTCTTGAAGCTCATCAAAGCAGTAATCACAGCAAAAGGTTGCTACTTTGAAGAAACTACAATATAAGGAGTATTTTCAGTTGTTTTACACTTTTTTGTTTTGTACAAATTTCCACATTTGTTAATTCATAATTTGATGCATGTCAATAGTCATGAAAATAAAGGAAACTCACTGAATGAAAAGGTGTGTCCAAACTTTTGGTTTGTACTGTATTTATAATTATATATATATATATATATATATATATATATATATATATATATATATATATATATATATATATATATATATATATTATATATATATATATATTATATATATATATATATATATATATATATATTATATATATATATACCACACCAGACAAGACCCAAGGTGTAGGTTGTGCAAGGAGGCCCCTGAGACAGTCCAGCACATCACAGCAGGGTGCAAGATGCTGGCAGGGAAAGCGTACATGGAACGACATAACCAAGTGGCAGGCATAGTGTACAGAAACATCTGTGCAGAATATGGACTGGAAACCCCAAGATCAAAGTGGGAAACACCCCCAAAGGTGGTGGAGAACGCCAGAGCTAAGATCCTGTGGGACTTCCAGATCCAGACAGACAAAATGGTAATGGCGAACCAACCAGACATTGTCGTAGTGGATAAACATCAGAGGAAAGCCGTTGTGGTAGATGTAGCAATACCAAGTGATTGCAACATCAGGAAAAAGGAGCACGAGAAACTGGAGAAATACCAGGGCCTCAGGGAAGAACTGGAGAGGGCCTGGAATGTGAAGACCACAGTGGTGCCTGTGGTCATCGGGGCCCTCGGGGCAGTAACCCCCAAACTGGAGCAGTGGCTACAACAGATCCCAGGAACAACATCAGACATCTCAGTCCAGAAATGTGCAGTCCTTGGCACAGCCAAGATACTGCGCAGAACCCTCAAGCTCCCAGGCCTCTGGTAGAGGACCCGAGCTCAGAGGATAAGAACCACCCGCGGTGGGTGAGAAGGGAATTTTTATATATATATATATATATATATATATATATATACATGCACAGAAAATATATATATTCTGTGCATGTATATATATATACATGCACAGAAAACAAGTTCATGATCATTTAGAAACAAGAATACTAATGTAACTCGGGAAGAGTTCAGAAATCAATATTTCTTGGAATTAATGAGGCCTTCAATATGGTCAGCGCAGTGATCTCTAAATTACTAGACCCGCTCTACCCATCAGCAGGATCCCAGAGGTGCATGGTAGTTCGCCCAACCAGGTTGCATGTGTTTTTGTGGACTTGAAGAAGTCCCTTGTGGGTGGTGCTCTGAGAGTATGGGGTACTGGGTCCTTTAATGGGCTATTAGGTCCCTATCTGACCAGTGTCAGAGTCTGGTCCACATTGTTGGCAGTAAGTCGGGCTCATTTCAGGTGATAGTTGGACTCCGCCAAGACTGCCCTTTGTCACCAATTCTGTTCATTTTGTTCATTACTTTTATGGACAGAATATCTAGGCCTTGCTACGGTGTTAAGTCGATCCGTTTTGGTGGCCTTAGGATAGCAGATGATGTGGTTCCATTAGCTTCACTGGGTTGTGATCTAAAACATTTGCTGGAGCGGTTCGCAGCTGAGTGTGAAATGGCCAGGATGGGGATCAATGCCTCCACATCCAAGGCCATGGTTTTGAGCCAGGAAAGGGATTAGAGTAAAGCTGCTGCTCCTTTACATTGAGAGGAGTCAGTTGAGGTGGCTCGGCACCTGGTTAGGATGCCTTCTGGACGCCTCCCTGCTGACCTGTTCCAGGCCACCAGAAGGAGGCTTAGTGGGAGAACCAGGACACGCTGGAGAAACTATGTCTTTTAACTGGCCTGGGAATACCTTGGGATTCCCCAGGAGGAAATGATCCAAGTGGCTGGGGAGAGGGA